ATAAAATTCGAAGATATATGAGCTTACGGAATAGTTCTCCGTAGGTAACTACTGACGTGTGATGATTTATAAAATGTTAGTAAACAGCATTCAATTGAACAACTGTAATCATCTGATTAAACCTGCAATAACGCAATTACAGAGATTTATAACCTTGCTACAAATATGGGCCTAGCTAACTGCCGTGTCAACGATTTGATTAAGCACTTTCTACTTAATTGATTTGTTTATGTGCTCGAGGAACGCATGAACTTGCCAACCATAATGTTCGAACTGTTTTATGAGTCGCGTTCATGAACCTTTTTTTTTATAAAAAAGCGAAATTCTTAATTTTTGTCGCATAAATTATTCCTAATACCAATTGTTGGTAGTATTCTTTCATTGTTTTTTTGAATGCCGATACATAATAAAGGAAATAATTATACGAGATGCCTTAATTTCTTTGTGTAGTTAAACGATATCGGTTGTGCAGGTAAGGCGTTAAACGGCAAGAGTAAATTAACGATTTGGAGTTGCTACAGAAAATGCAGGAAAATATTGGAGAGCCTCGACGGAATGCTGTTAAACACCAGTTGTGCATATTTCGTGATTTATGCTCATGGATGTAAAAAGAGGCGGAATATGCGGGGAGGAGTTTTCACACCGGTGCGGCAAGTGGCATGGTGGTACTCGCCTAGACTGCGATACTGTGTAAACAATAACCCATTGAAATTAAAGTGAAAATCATTATAGTGTCTTGTGTGTCATGCGGCAATAAGTTTTTGTCACTGTCTCAATTATAATGTGCGTTTTGTGATAAAACAAAGAAACTCCACACGGACCATCATTGGATGATATTATGATGAATAACGACTTAAGGGGTTCACATCGTTCCAAATAGTTTTTAATGTGACCTGACATTAAGAGATTACCGCCGCTCAAGAACACCTCCGCCTTCCCATTCATGCAGTCAAATAAACTGTTTATTGGCATTGAAGAGCAGAGTGACTGAACTATTGACAAAAATAACCATTTACTCCTAGCCGGTCTTCTGTGAGACCATGGCACTTTTCAAGGCTAGTCTGCCCATTCGTGCAACTGCACGAAGATAATATTTAATAATAAATAAATATTTAAGACACTTTTTTACACAGCGTTCTCCCCCAAATTACAATATTTTTTCAGAAGTGGGGATCGAATCCACACCCTCTGGCGCAAGTGGCAGGTGCACTACCCACAACGCCAATCGGGTCGTCTCCACTACGTCATCATTAAATGGACTCTAAATAAATTTAAGGCTAAATTTATGACTGCAATACAACATTCAAAAGTCACAACTTTCAATGCGTTTTCTGTTTTTGGAAAACGCTCTTGATTGCGTTTTCCAAAAACAGAAAACGCATTGAAAGTAATTGATTCATATCGACTCGTAATTATTAATGTTAAGAATTCATCTCATGCTCGTAAATTACACTGTCCGAAGCAATCACATTAGCATTTGATTGCTTCGGACAAACCGAAAATACGTTGGCTTTGAAACTAAATTGAACAATTTTTTTATTTCACTTTTATCAAGAAAAATTGATTACGTTACAATCCGCAAAGTAAAATGATTTTAATTCACAACTTGCGTCCGGACAATGAACTTTATTTCATTCGCGTCGCTTGGGACCTAATTGAAAATATATTTCTGCTTGATACCTTAATCTCTGCCTTCACGCAAAGCAAAGACGTTTATCTCAAAAGATACACTCATGCGAATGATGTAATATCTTGACATGCACTTAAATGTTAACGATTGTACCATTAAACAACGTCTTATAATGAAAAGAGATACTGAGATGACGATGTCATATATACAATATATTATTAATTAAAATTGTTGAAATGTTTACTTTTTTATTTCATGCTGATAAATTTCTCATTAATTACGTTTTTAACCAGAGACTTTCGTATATAAATCTATTTTAATCTAAATCGGAATGTTGTTGAAATAACAAAATATTATCTGGATGACCGAGCTTCGTCCGTTTTCACACAAAAGGGTCTTAAAAAAAAGGAAAAGAGAAAAAAAAAACACGTGGACCCGAATCGGGGTCTTCTTTTTGTTTTTGTATAAGTGATGTTACGCTTTCAGTCCTTAGACTATTAAAGCTTCATCGAACGCAGAACCTGTGGGCTAGCCAGAACTCACTCGTTTGCGGCCCTCCTCAGAGGGTAGGGTCGCGCATGTACTCATGCGTGTGTTAATTATGGCATGTCGCCTACGGGCCATCGAAGTTCGGTGCTTTCTGTGAGCCCGATGGCCGTTGACTGTGCTTGGTTAATCGGTGGCTGGGGGCGATGAAAACCACCCTGGAACACGGGTGGGGTGTTCTGGTTTCGGGACCGACCGATTACCGCCCGAGCTAGTAGACGGTTCTTATTTTAATGATATTGTCGCAGTTTTTCATTCCCTCGAAAACACGGGTAAAACGATTTTTCTAAAAATGCAACCTACATAGATCGATTTATCGCCTCCAAAATCCGCCTGACCGCTGAATTACATGAAAATCGTTGGAGCCCTTTGCGAGATTCAGATTATATATGTACAAGAATTGCTCGTTTATTTATATACATTATATAAAAAAAAAATACATTATTACATAGATAGGATGTTATTTACTGGTCCAACGCTAATTCCGCTTTATCTTCTGAGCTTTATTGGTTGTCTTTGGTTGGATGCAGGTGGCTCATGAACGTGCTTCGTGGCTGTGTGGGGAAGACTTATGTCCAACAATGAAACAGACTGCAATGATGATGAAGAATCATCATCATCATCATTAAGATATAATCATTTATATCTTCTATTTTTTATAGCTTGTTTGCAAATTTATTGATTCTTTGTTTTTTAACATTTATTTTATAAATCGATTAGTCCGAAAGAAACTTAAGGGAGGTATGCTACCACGTTGTCTTAATTTGTAATTCATCTTTATAGCAAAATACAATTATTTTTAAAATGGCAATTATTAAATTATTCTACGTCTATGTTCTATAATTAACTACATTTTTGTCTTCACTTATTTTTCTGCCCTTATCGCACTTAGATGGAGTCGGCACAACATGTGAATCATGCTGTTAATAGTATTGGCAAGGTTTTGAAGTTATACTTCTTTTGGCGAGTTTAGAAAAATCTTGAGAGTAGAATTTACGATACGAGCGCACACCGACCCTCAAAAAGCGAAATGATGCTTGGTTAGTTACCAATAATAAGTTTTTGGTATATACAAAAATTCCAAGTTATTTAAATAAACCGTTATCAATTGCATTTTATGTCTCTACGCTAAAGAAGTATAAAATCAAAATCAAAATCAAAATATATTTATTCAAATAGACGCTTGCGCGCTCTTATGAATCGTCAAATTTTACATCAAAGATTATGTGTATAGGTTCGTAAGGTACCACCGGTTCGGAAAGCGGTTTCTGTTGAGAAGAGACCGGCAAAAAAACTCAACAGTTGCTCTTTTTCAAAAATATCAGGGTACAATATAATATACAGGTATAATAGTCTTATTCTAGCCTACGTGAGTATCAACAGTATTAACTCCACACATTGGCGTCGTCGAGATATTCCGAAATGGTATAATATGCTTTAATCATCAGTTGATTTTTAATTTTACATTTAAATTGGTCAAGCGGCAGACTTAATATCGACTGTGGGATTTTATTATACATGCGTACACTTTGCCCCATGAACGACTTATTTACTTTTTGTAGACGAAACAATGGCGTAGTAAGTTTGTCCTTATTTCTAGTGTTTATTTTATGTCTGTCACTATTCTTTAGGTAATAATTAAGGTTATGACGTATATACAAAACATTACAATAAATGTATTGAGAAGCAACAGTGAGTATATTAACCTCTTTGAAAAGATCTCTGAGTGAATTCCGGGCTCCGATATTGTAGATTGCTCGGACAGCTCTTTTTTGAAGAATAAATATAGTATTTATATCTGATGCACTACCCCACAACAAAATGCCGTACGACAAGATGCTGTGAAAATAACTAAAGTAAACAAGTCTGGCAGTGTCGATGTCTGTTAGCTGCCTAACCCTTCTAATCGCAAAAACCGCGGAGCTCAGCCTATTCGCAAGAGATGATATATGGGGACTCCACTGGAGCTTTGAATCTACTGTAATTCCCAGAAATACAGCAGACTCAACTGGATTAATGGGTACGTTATTTAATATTAAACTAAAACTTTTCCTTCTTATACTGGGAAGGGTAAAAAGAATACATCTGGTTTTTTTGGCATTTAATACCATATTATTAATAGTAAACCAGTGGAGGATATGTGAAAGCGCACTATTCACGTCGTCATAATTTAATACGTTTCGGTCAACTTTAAAAATAAGCGATGTATCGTCAGCAAACAGTACAACATCACACAACCCACTGGCATAAAAGGGGAGATCATTAATATATACTAAAAATAATAATGGGCCCAAGATTGATCCTTGTGGGACTCCCATTTTCATCTGGGACCCAGTGGAATTAACATCATTTATAGATACTTTTTGAATTCTATTACTAAGGTATAACTTCTTAAGTGCGTACAAGTACACACATACTTATTTCTTACGACCGGCCAATTGCCTGTCGTCAATCCTTTTGAGAATATAGATACGAAACGATTATCACTGTGTCACACAAATATTTGTTCCATGTCGGGATCGAACGGCGTGCCCACGAGCCCCCGCGCCGAAGCCAAAAGTTTAGCAACTACGCCACCGGGTCATCTTACTTTATTGTCTTGACCATCCGCTGAGTTCCTTTCGCCGGTTCTTCTCAGTACAGTGGCTTTCTTTTCCGAACCGGTGGTAGTGTTTTGACTATCAATAAGTGAGTGTAATGCTCCTATGTTGAATAAATACATTTGATTTTTGATTTTTTTTTTTCATCTTTTACTGTCTTTCATAGCTATATTGTTTACCTGTGCGGCAGGCGGCGGTTGTGGGGCGTGATCCCATGCCTGTCACAAGTCGCCCCACACCAGGGCGCGCTTGCCTCGGTCCACCGAAGCCAGGAGTCCGGATTGCGGATGCCACGACACGGCTGTCACTGCTGACCTGGTTGTGCAAAATATATCTTAAAGCTGAGTTTTTTTGTTTGTTTGAACGCGCTAATCAATGAAACTAGATCGATTCGACAATGGTTTAGATTCACATTTTTTTTTTAAATTTTTTTAAGTTATCGGATTTATGTCTTGTATACAGGACACAGTCTGTCGGTCCGTATAGTCGGTAGTATATTATAAAATCTGATAATGTATCCCGTGACCATGTATGGTGTAAATTGTTTGAAACATTCGGAAGTTAGAATTAAAATACAAAGCGGAATACATTGTGAACTAATTAAATAAACATACCACGATTAGGTTAATACGGAGTAAAATTAAAGAAAAAAACTCAGTAATGTTATTTTAATGCTAGCACTCATCTTAATGTTTGCAAGAAAAGTGCCTGTAATCTAAATAGTTTAGTTTACTGCATAATAAAAACCTATAAAGTCTGCCCGTACTGCATAACGTAGCCTGTACTCTAAGGATTTTCTCTCTGAAACTACTTATTATGTGAGGGATCGTTTGCCCTGCAGTGGGTAGCATATAGTCCTAGATTACAGTTATAACAAAAATATTCCACCTGGCTATTCTGATCCTTACATACTTCGCCATGGCTTCATTGGGATGTACTTTGATATTATCAAATTAGAAACGCATGCTTTTAACAACCCCCTAGTCGGCTTAAACATATAAGCACGATCTATTAGCGATTAATATACAAAGCATTTAACATATAAAAGCTTGGTATATTAATCGATAATAAATTGTTAATTCAGGTCGCTAATAGGTATCTATATGGAATTCACGCACAGTTGAAGTTTCACGAAGCCCATTTCGGACATGATTCGATATGACATTTTAAGGCCAGAGTGAATAGGAATTCTCAATGACTAGGTCGTGGCCAAATCAAAAACCGATGTTCGAAATGGCTATGGGCCAGTCTGTCATTAAAGTAACTATCTAGAAATAAGTATGAATCTATAGTAAGGTATTTCTTTGTAGTTGTACCAAATAATATGATGGAAAGAGTAGTCCTGTTTATGTGTTAAAAAGACGTTATTAACGAACTAAGATTTATTAAGAAACCCTCTATGTTTCATAAATTACGTCCGTGCTCTATGCAGTATACTAAGCTTACCATAACTTGTACTAAGCATTTGCGCGGCGCGGAAAGGCTCGTACAAGTAATATAAATATGTTTGGACGTTTCTATGTCGTGTAAAATTAAATACTTTAATTCTGTTAGCCGCGGTATCTTAGCCCTCAGGACGCGTTTAAATTCCGGCATCCTTCAACGTCTCGTATACTTCTTATGGGATGACGGTATATATGCATCCTGCATTAACACAAAATACACTCGAGACAAAATAATACGACAATAATATAAGAAGATGTTTGTTAACGGACGTGAACTTTTGAATATAATGCTAGGTACAAGGTACTATAATATATCTTAAACTGTATAGAACTGTATAGAAACTGTGCGTAGGAGAAATAGTTAAGAGGAGACTATAGAAATCTTAGACTTTTACTCATTTTTCTGTTTCATATGCAGCACATGTACTTCAAACCAAAACTTTTTTTATTTAACACACATATATATATATATTAAAAAAAACAAATACGTATATATATATATATATATATATACAACATAAACATATATATATATAACATACAAATATGTTTAGCGAGTAGCAATCAATATGGACACTTTAAACTCGATCTAACATAAAGCTGACAGCTGTGTCGGGAAGACGCCGCTCTAGAAACCTAATCTACTTCTGAAGCCTGTGTTTGTAAATTTAAGAGAGTAAGATGATTTTTTATCAATTACAGAATGAACGGCGCTAATAGACTAATGTCTCATTGTTCTCGGTCCGTAATGATGCTGACTCGAAGACAGCTTAGCTTGATTGCTAGAAAGGCACGCACATTAATATGACTCGATGCAAGAAAAAAAGGAATAAATTTGCCAGCGAGGAAAACATAAAGGATGAATTTAACAAATAATTTCATTACCATAAATTTCAGAGTAACTTAATGTTATATATTTAAACTATTTTATAGCTTTTAATTTCAGTTTTAATTCGCGATGTTTGATTCTTTACGACATCCGTCATTACGAGACAGACTGAAATGTCGTAATATCTTAGTTCACCAAAGCTTTCTCTTTACTTTTTACTGTCAGCCTTTAGATTATTTATGTTTAGTTCAATCTATATATCTGAAGGAACTTAATGTATCTTGAGGTTTGGCAGGATAAATGTATGTATATTATTAGCATGAAAACACGAAATCATGAAGTAAATGAAAATTCTAAGGCCCGTGAGTATATTTAGAAAATTTTGGCAATCCTTCGATATTCAAATAGATAGATAAAAGAAAGCCAGCATAAGAAGCCCGTTTCTCTTTGTCCGAAGCGGTTAGGAAGAAGGGAATTTATTTGCGATGCACTTTCTACGGTTACAACTCTAAGTCCCTACAAAACGTACAGGAGCGGTAATTGGCGTACTGTTGCATTTACTGCGGTGTTTGTGCGCCGGGTTAAAGACCGGGCCGCGATTGGAAAAGCTAGAGATGTCACGCTCCACGAACAACTTACGGCTTCCATCCAACTAAGCGCATTTCGCCGGGGGGACAACACCCATTTTTTGTGGAGGAAATATCCTTTGCGTATAATACTACCGGATTCGGGATCGGCAGTTGTATGTGTGAGTTGCGGGCAGAACGGGTACTCACTAAAAACCTCAGGTAGCACCTGACTCTGACGCGGTAACACGAAGACGCAATCTACCGTGACTTCAAAAAGACCACCTAGAAGCTTCGAGATGTACTACTGATTGAGGCGGCGATGACGAGTTCGCAACGCATACCGCGGTAACGCTGAGTATTGTAGCGCTATGTCTTTCTTAGTAGTTGCTGCTGAGTCTACGCGGCCAACGGCCGTCCACGCTCCGGACCAGAGGTTGCGACAAAATCTTAGTTCATAGGGTCATAAAACCACTCCGGCTACATGCTGTATTTTATTACGAAACTGGTGCATTTAGTTATAGCTGGTGCCGCATAGACCGTTACGTTTCTCGGAACTCACGAGACGACTATGAACGGTACCGGACGTTATGTGGATGTACATTACGAATATTATGTTGGCGCTTAAATTTGTGTCACTGGCACGAGATACCCATCGTGACTGTTATTAATGCGCGGGCGTTTAATAAGGTCGGCGAAAGAAAAAAAGAGAGCAACAGAGATCGTCCGACGCGGCGACGTTGAAAACGGCCTACCCGCGTCAGGCTTTCCGAAAGCGGTCGAGATGCTCGAAATCTCTTTAAAGCGTTTCCGGACCGTTTGTGTATGTAGGTGAACTGAACTGGTCGAGTTAATTTCGAATATAAATGTTGTTTATGCGGCTACGATTGTCGGTGTCCTCTATAAGGATTAACAAGGTATTAGACGTGGGCTCTCATAAACAAGAATTAGCTTTGGTTCGGTTCGTTTACACATACCACTGCCGGTTGCGAATAACGAGCCCCGATAGAATATCCTATATGGGGTCCAGGAAGCGTCGTAAATAATAATTGAGCGGGAGCTCGCGATTGTTGCCGTGTTAAAAAGCGCTTTCCGAGTTGAATTTTCACTGGAGGCGCGAGGCGCGTATGCATTCATATTGAGTCAGGCAATATTCACAAAAATTCATTAATGCGTAATATCAGCGCTTTAATATTCATAGAGAAGTTGAGTAACAGAATTATTCGTAAGCAGGAGCGAGCGTAGTTGAGTTTCGAACCGAAAATTGATGCAATAGTTATAATTTATGACATCGAAAAATGCATTTGGTGTGTAGCTATAATCCAATCAATTTTATAATGCACCGACGCGGCGTCCGTTCATAAACGCGGCGACCATAATATATTTAATTCCAGTCACGTCTTGATTCATAACCGCATTACACGCCTACTATGTTCGGGAACAGGTTACCCAATAAAGCAATTTCAAGAATCTATTCGCGGCGGTCGATAGCCTTTCCGCTACAAAAAGCATGCACCGCGATAACTCTGTAATGATGTTCGAATACGTCCGTACCCTCGCATTGTTTCCACGAATCGGTGGTGCTATGTTTATGGTGTACGTTCACATTTCTACTTCAAATTGGGAATATATGTCGCAATTATTGCATTTTTAGTTGTAGAATAATTAATATGGCTGGGAATTATTCTTCGAACCTTTCTAAGCTAAGCTAAGCTATTAAACTGGACGCGTTCTTAGACAATTTCACAAAAAAATGTGTTACATGTGCAACATTTCAATTTGGATTTAGTAGGTGGAAAATGGTAAGTAATCTAAAAATATTACAGTAACGGCCATTAGAGAACGCGTAGCTCCGCTGCTTTTCGTAAATTACAACGGTAAACAAGCCGAATACGAAACATAATGCCAGACGGGAGATCAGGTCGAGTCAGTAGTTTCTACTTCATCATAGAATTCAAGCTTTGGCATTCGTCAAATATGCAATTCTTTTTGAACGACAAATCTAATAACTAATGAAGTATGTACGAATATTGTTCCACTTAAGAAAAAAGTTGAGTTTGACCAAACACCTGACACGAGAGACACTAATTGTCAAAAAATACATTGTGGTGATAAAAGCGACTAGTCGTTTAATGCGAAGGCTCAAACGTTCGCCGTTATAAAGTTGGACCATTTTATTTGCGGGCCGTTTTTGAAAGGTTTATTAGACAATTGGTTCATAAACGTCCGAATGAATCACGTCGAGTACGGAAATGGTTAGGTGGAGTTAATTGCGCCGCACGCGAGATGGTGCTTAACCATAATATAACAGAAATGAGCATAAGAACTCGTTGTTCACTTTATTACGGGGCCGGTAATGGCGGCTTTTTAATAGCAATTAAATTTGATGCTCGTGCATTTGTGAGCGCATTAGGTTTAATGCAATTTCTCGTGGCACTCGTTGATATCCCGTCTGATATGACCGCCGATAAGCCT